GAGGGAGGAGGGAAGGAAGCATGGAGAGAGGGAGGAGGGAAGGAAGCATGGAGAGAGGGAGGAGGGAAGGAAGCATGGAGAGAGGGAGGAGGGAAAGAAGGAAGGAAGATCTTCCAAATACAAACTTTAACTATGAGACTTGGAATAAAGTCCTGGAATACCAATATTTATAGTTTTTATTTTCCTATGATGTTTATTCAGACCTGGAAAATACCCAAACTGTATTCCAGGCTTTTCCAGGCTGTCAGGGAGCTGATCCTCCTCGCTTTACCTGTTGAGCCTTTCCAGCACAGAGTCGTCAGCCAGGGAGATCTCATCCATGAGGAAAACCCCTCCTTCCTTCATGGCGAGCACCAGCGGTCCATCGGTCCACTCAAACAGCCGCACCTCCTCCCCAACAGTCTATCCAAAGACACATGACATAGAAATGACCAACAGATCCGATTACTATAGATGTATTCTGCCTAGAATGGGCAGATCTATTTGCTCCCAGCATGTCTGGCTGCATGTAAAGTAACAAGGCGAACAGTGGAGGCTGGTTTAATGACAGAATCAACAAAGATAAAAACTAAAACTTCCGCTGGTTCCGATCCTCATTAGGTCATAACAGCCAGTCAGCCCATCAGAACCATTATAGACCAGCGGGTCAGAACAGGTGGAACCGAAGGCCCACGGTGGTGGATGAGTACCTGCTGGGCGTATCGAACCGGCCGCAGGCCTCCAAGGAAGTCAGAGGTCTCCATGTGCATGTGACAGTTGACAGAGAAGAACTTCTGTCCAGCCAGAGCTGCGTACAGCTGGCAGATGGTGGTTTTCCCACATCTGCAGAGGAAACGGATAGCATGAGTTAAACATGACTGATGAAGAAAAACCTTCACAGCCACTGAAAGGCATCTGGAAGACGGCGTGGCTGGAAGGCCTTTCTGAGCAGTTGGTGAGGAACGTCTGAAGCTGACCCGGTGTCTCCTACGAGCAGAACCGACTCCCCGAAGCGCAGGGCCCGGCCTATCAGCACAGCTATCCTCCTAAGACCCTGGGTCCACACCACGTGGCGGAACTCGTCCGGGACTCCTCCACCGCTGTCGATGAGGGGGCCTGGTGGTGACAGGAAATAAGCCTGCTGATTGTCACAGACTCCAGCGGCGTCTGCAGGCTGCATGTGGAGCGGCTGCTTCTTACTGAACTGACTGATGAGCTGTTTGTGGGAGAACAGGTTCTCTGGGTTCACCGTCCTTTTGAAGTGTTTCTGCAGGGTGGCCAGGATGACGGCCTCCTCCTCCGGCTTCCTCACCCGTCCGGCCAGCAGCATGTAGCCTAAACACAAACACAGCTTGGATCAGGGGGGGCGCCTCTTAGGAGGCTCAGGGTGCATCTGGTGAGCCTCACCATCGTCTGCTAGATGCTGCAGCCAGTCCTGGGAAGCCTGCGTCTGCTCCTCCAGCCTGTAGCGCTCCGCCCAGCGGAACAGATCTCTCAGCGTGATGAAGCCGTGCTTCCCCGCAAACACAGAGGATCCTCTGCGCAGAGACTGGAAGAGGAAAGATGCATCTTTAGAGCCGCCGTTTGCTTCCACACCACAGGGAAGATATCAGCAGAAATACCTGAAGGTCCAGCATGACTTTGACCAGCTTGCTGCAGTAGGATGGAGGTAAGCTGCACCTCTGGTGAAGGATGGTTTCCAGTTCTCCGCTGGGAAGCTCATCAAAGTGAAGCTCCACAAAGCGGTTCCTGAAAGCCCTGGAGAGGACCTGGATGGAAGCAGAGGAAGTCCATGTCTGTCTGAAGCTGCTTCCTGGACCTCAGCTGCATTAAAGCTGAGTGCTGTTAAGAGTTTGTCATTCCTCCCCACTGTCACCACATGCATTTCTCTCATTATCAGCCTTTACTCCGCTCACCTTCTAACAAATACATCTAGACGTGTACAGATCACCCTGTTCTCTACACCCCGCATCGGCTCCCGCCTCATTTTAGACTCAGGTGTCAAGTTACAAGGTATAAATTTGTATGTATATAAATGTTCCTTTACTTTACTGGAGTAATTGTTTTTTTTAGACAACAAAAACATAAAAATAATTAGTTTCATCCAGACAATTAATCTCTTTGTGGTTGGACTTGGTGCTGCCCTAACAAGTTGGGGCAAAATAAATCTTTTTTTATAGAAAAAAACCTTCCCTTCGTTGTAGAAAATGTTCCTTTAATAGACTAGTACAGTAAAAGCGAGTAAAAGGGTGATTTAAAAAAACAAACAAAACATATTTTATTAATTTATTTTTTTAATGATGCCGCATGTTTGGCTCCTCTGAGTTTCTGTAGTTGCAGTATTACTCTCAGGTTGCAGTTTGGCAGCGACAGCGTCATGTCTCTACCCGATCCGTACCTTCAGCTCATTTGCGCAACCAAATATACATCCGGGTTTCCATAAATAATGTAATTATGGTAATAAAATCACTTATTTCTATCCTTAAATTCCTAAAGAATGCTAATACACACCTTTAAAAAATGTTTTTAATGACTTTTCTGAGACAATTTTAATCCTTTTTACATTTTCTTTGTTAAACTGCTTCTCTGACGTCATCATGGGATTAAACCATGTTTATCTGCATTTAAGTTTTTTCTTTCTTTAGGTTACCACCATATACCATAATGTTAACATGAAAGGAAAACATAAAACTCAAAAAGACTCGATTTATGAAATCCAAAGCTGAAAAAGTTAGCCACTGGAAGTATCCTAGGATCCCATTTCTGTTAGAGATCGGGAACGGAGGACGGATAAAACAGAAAGGATTTTAAGGCATTTATTTCCTCAGGAAGCACATTATTAACCTTTAACACATTATATTTTAATACGCTTACTATTCTTGGGTAGGGAAAAATGTAATTTAGGTTTTTTTTAACAGATTAAAATCGAGGGCAACCAGGATGATTATCAGGTTGCAAAAATGAGCTGATGGTACAGATCATGCTTCCGGGTCGGATTGGGTAGTAAGCTGTCACATGAAACACTAAATGACATCAGAACTACAGGTGAGTGAAAAGTTTGTTCTCAAAAAAGGAATAAAATCAGAACTGCAGGGCTTGGGTGAGTTTATTTAGATGCGGTTCTATTAGTAGAAATAGGGTAGTATATTGAAAGGCGTATTCTGAAAGGGTCAGAAAAGGTTCCCTGTCCAGATAGCATGGCTGCAGATAGCGCAGCGCGGTAATGACCATGCCAGTCGCTCCGGGATGAACAAACCCGCACTAACCAACAAACCTCAGCTAAGAAACAGCTAACCTTTCTGCAAAACATCACAGACAGGAAAGCAGCAGGTTCGCTTGACGCATAGCCAAAGACTCGGTGCGTCATTTCTACATATTGCCTTCCTAAATAATTTTTAATTCGTAAATTGAATTAAAAGGAAAAAAAATTAGATTTAATTTAAATTTTTTGTTTTTAAAGCTTTAAATGGACTCGCCCAGAGTATTTGTCCTTGGCAGGAGCAGAACTGCTTATGTTGAAGTCAGCTGGTTTCAGGAATCGCCTGGTCTAGGTTTAAACGGTGATCAGGCTTTAGCTGGTACTGAGACTCTGGAACACGTTAGCCCTGAATATCTGCACTGCTGCAGATATCGCTCTATTAGGTCCAAACTGAAGACACATCTGATCAGGCTTATCGTACACTGGAAAAAAATGTAAATCTGAATAAGTCATTTTTTCTTATAATAACTCCATTTTGTTTTGAATGGAGGATGTAAGTGAAATACTTAGCAATTGCTTTTTCTGATTTTAAATGTATATGGTCTTGTTTCATTGGCATCGTCTTATTAGAAGCACATATTATCTAATTATCTTATTTCAAGAGTAAAAATACTAATTTAATCGGCAAAGCATCTTATTAATCTAATAAAATTAGGATAAATACACTTGATTTAAGACATTTTTACTTATTTCTAGATTGTTTTTCCAGAGTGCAGAGCAGTGGTTTGACCATTTCATTCATTTGCTTCTGTTTGATTTTACCGTTTTCTATGTTCACCTTTTTTTAGTGTTTGCTGTGACACTTTGGGCACCTGCTGGTTGTTGTAAAGTGCTGTATAAATACATTTAGATTTTAATTAGATTTGGTTGAATTTAACTGAGATTAGATTATATCTGGATTAGATGGATTTGAACTTGGACCCGATCGCCTCCAGAGGGATTTATTATCACGCAGAAGAACCAAACGGATGAGGATCTGGAAGGATCAGGGGTTTTATGCTCTTTTGATATTTCAGAATCTGAGTTCTTGAACTCCGGTCGTCTTCGGCTTTGAATCACCTGAATTTCTTAGAACTTTTTTTCTGTGCATCTGTGAAGTACCTTCCGGCCGCCGTAGAGACCTGGAGGATTCTGGGTTGCAAACAGCATGAATCTAGGATGAGCCTTGATGACTTCCTGAGTCTCGGCCACAAACAGCTCCCGGTTATCATCCAGCAGCCTGTTGAGAGCCTCCAGGACGTCGGTGGGGGCCAGGTTCAGCTCATCCAGGATCACCCAGTAGCCTTTCCTCATGGCGTCGATCAGAACACCTGGACAACATTCACACAACAGGTCGACCAGAGTCTGAGAATTAGCTTAAAAGTAAAGACTGAGTCTTTATGTCAGGATAGTTGCAGGTTTTATCACTCCTACCCTCTTTGAACACCAGCTTTCCGCGGTCGTCTGAGGAGTAGCAGCCGATGTACTCCTGGATGTCGGTGTGCTCGTGGTTGTTGATCCTCACACACTGGTTTCCGGTGGCCGTGGCCAACCAGCGGATGAGGCTGGTCTTCCCCACAGACGTCTCTCCCTGGATCAGCACTGGGTGCGTCCTGCGGGGTCCAAGCAGTTCAGGAAAGGTTATGGCAGGGCACGGTATGGATTAGTCATTAGCTGAGTGTACACATAACCAGTGTGAATGGAACCACCCTAAGAGAGGACAGCCATTCGGTATGGATCGCCATGGTGACTGGATCCAGGCTGGAAAGATTATACAACTAGAGCAGCACAATTAACTCATCTCTAGTGTTATCATCTGCTATAGCAGACGCACAAAGGTTCTGACTGGATGCAGGACTTGGTACCACTGCATCATCACTGAAGGTGCCGAGTGTTTAAACCTTGCTAACAGAAACCAGGGAAATCATGATAACTGAGTAACGTGCAATAAAAGTTCACCTGGATCAAATACTTCTGTTTTAAAAACAATCACTACGTCTCTGACCTTCTTTGAATAACAACTGACAGGCACAGTGGAGCCACCATCATGCTGTGGGCTTGGTTTGTTACTGGATTTAATGATGCATTGCTTTAATTGGATTCCATTTTTTTAAAGGACATGGTTTTCTGGGCCCATCTGGATGTTCCTGGATCTGAGCTCAACAACATGAAAATGTTCAGTTTCTATTGAAAAGCAACCGATTCAGATCAGCAGTGGTCAGACGTCCAGCAGGAATGATGCCAGCTGTGTTTATGTAGCATTAATGGTCATCTCTCCAGTTCAAACAAATGCTGATCGGCCCAAAAACATGGAGACCAACAGTGTCTATGATGAGTGGATGGAACCTCTGAGCTGACAGCAGGAGGCAGTGCTTCAGTGAATAAAACCTTGAACGTCGTTTTTCCTCTCAGGACCACCAATAAAGGCTGAATCCTAAGCCGACCCCTAAACACTAACCCTCTGTTTGTGAGTCTGCATCAGTGCAGGGGTAACTGAAAACTAGTTGTGGAGGAAACATTTGTATTCAAATGTAAGTTTAACTGGTTTGCTGAATCTTCGTCACACATAAAAGAACACCACTAGTTAGGAAAAATTTTAAAAAGATGTCAATAAACCCTTAATGGAAGGTCTTCTTTTAAATAGTTTGATTAGACTGGATAAGTCAATTTTTCAAGAAAATGGCAAACATTTGATGTTATGCTGCTATAGGCTTAGACTGCTGGAGGACATAGGGACCCCTATTTCATCATTTTGCTTCATTCTATCTCTATTCTCCCACTCTGCAGAATCTGTTAGTTCAATCTCTAACGTTCTGCTCTCTCTGCTTTTTCTCATAGTAGCTTCATCTGGTCTGTTCCTGTTTGGCTGGGACTCCATCCTGGAGAGAAATATCAGATCGGCCTGTTTTTCAGTGTAGTCCTGTTTCTCTGACTGTGACTAACTGGATGTGCTCTCTTCATCCTCTGACATGGGAGCTGGCTCGGAGCTCGTCTGCCTGGCTGTGTGTTTCCTGGACGGGGCCGCCTGTGGAGCTGGTTGACAGTTGCCTTTTATATCTCTGCTTCTTTTTCTATGTCTGCTTCTGTCTCCTTGAACCCCAGTCAGCCTCAGCAGATGGCCGCTCACACTGAGCCTGGTTCTGCTGGAGGTTTCTTCCTGTTCAAAGGGAGTTTTTCCTCCCCACTGTCGCTACAAGCATGCTTAGTGTGAGGAATTGCTGAAGAATCAACTGGTTTTCCTTAGATAGAAAACTTTCAATCAATCTGACTGGATGATCTGGTGAACTGGAAAGAGCCTTGAGATGACATGATGTGAATTAGTTTTATAGAAAAGGAACTGAATTCAATTGAATGTTAACATCGCAACAGAGCTACAGCTGCACATATGTGGCGTCACTGTGTTGCCATAGCAACGGATGCTTTCTCTTTCCAACAGAGGGAAGAGGCCGTCCCATTCTCCTTTATACCCCCATTAATCCAGGCGCCTTCCACAGCTGCAAGTTTGCCTTTATTAACACTTGGCAGTTAAGAGTTGGTGGTTAGGGTGTGGTTTGGGATTCAGCCAGAGCTTCAAACACTCATATTCAACCACATTGATGTTTAGAGCCAGAGTCAGAGGATCGGACCACCTGATCCAGGGACGTTAGAACAGTGAGTCAGGATTGGGGTTGGAGTCGTCCTACCCTGCAGAGACCACTCTGGAAAGGTCCCGGAGGTTGAGCTTCACTGAAGCAGTGAGGATGTAGCTGGGGTCCAGTGCTGGCTCCAGCTCTCCCTGGGGAACCCAGTAGCCCTCCATCTGAACACAGGCCCGGCCCGGTGGAGCTGGGATGGGCTGCAGAGAAGAACCACCAACATTTTAGATCTGATCCTGTCAGACTTGAGCTCTGATCCTGTCAGATGGGGAATCTACAGCTAGTAGGTAGTAGCTCCATTAGAGAAACCTGCTATGCTATCATAACAGGGATTTAAAGGATTCTAAACCAGTGGATAAAATAATAATCTTCCCGACAGTTTGAACCTTACTTGTTTCAGGCACTTGGTGTTCCCCATTAGAATGTGCTGACACACCAGGTTCTGGACCAGAGGGTGGGAGCTCCTGTCCAGCTGGGTGAGGAAGCTCATGCAGAAGCCCTGATGAAGAGGAGGATGGAAGCTCACAACAGACCTCAAACCTTCTGACTCAAAGTGAAACAGGAAACGCTGCCGCAGCCAGTCTGACCTCATAGAGCGAACGCTGGACGCTGTGGCAGGGGTTCGCTGCCGCGTAGCTCAGGGCCCTGCACAGAGTGCGCAGGCTGTAGTGGGGTCTGTGGCCGGTTCCGTCCAGCAGGCGGGACGAGGCCTCCTTCCGCGCCGCCAAATAAAAACTGCAAACAACCACAATCGTTGACCGACAGGAACCCAGTGCAGTTCAGCTGCTGTAGAACAGGTTGAAGCTGACCTTATGATGCCGCTGATGACGCTCTTCTGCGGGTTCAAACACTTGAGGTAGTCAGAGACGAGGATCCTCAGGTCTCCCTCGTTCTCCAGCTCATGCACATACAGCTCAGTAAACCTAGACCCCGCCCCCAAACCCACACAGACACTTTTACCTTCCAGCTACTCAGCCTATCTGACCTCAGACCTGCTTTTACATTCAGAACAGCTGGAAGCAGCGGCGGCTGCTCAATATATATATATATATATATATATATATATATTTTTAGAATTTAAGTTTAAATTAAAATTTAAAATATTTCAAAATATAATAATATATATTTGTTGTGCAAGATAAAAGCTTTATTTTGCTTTCCCTGCCTCCTTTTCCAAAGGTCAGGATCTGACCCAGCATGGATGAAGACAGCTAACACTGATTAAAACACTTTTTATAAAAGGCAAAGAAGAATCAACAACCTGGGATTCACAGGGAAAATAATAGAATATAGTCTACTTTTTCTAGGTGTTTGTTAATTTGCATAGTTGCTCTTAAATAAACATTCTCAGAAAATAAGTAGTTTTTATATATTAAAAAAATATAAAGCTGACTAAGAGCTTCTCCATTATTAAACTGCTACATTATTTTTTTTAGGTTTGTGAAACAATATTGGACCATGCAAAACACAGATTTACCTTCACAAAGTATCAGAAGGAAAGATTTATGTACAAAAAGGGAGTTTTTCCTCTCCACTGTCACTACAGGCATGCTTAATATGAGGGATTGCTGAAGAGTCAATCCAATCAACTGGTTTTCCTTATATAGAAAACTTTGAATCAATCTGACTGGATGATCTGGTTGAACTGTAAAGTGCTTTGGGATGACATGTTGTGAATTGGCGCTATAGAAATAAACTGAATAGAATTGAAAAGGGTGGTGCAAATGGGGCTTTATGTAAACGTGCATTTTCCAGTCTTGGAAATCTGCGCAGAATGGATAACAGATCAGATGTGAGAGGACTGCTTGCTTCCATGCATGTGCTGATAAAAGCTCAGCGACCACATACAGGAAACAGCAACACATCACAGAAGCTGACCTGTTCCTGAGCCCCAGAGGAAGGTTCCTTTTCCCAACATCAGTCGCTGGGTTCATGCATGCAAAGAGGCGGAAGTCCGGATGGCGAACCAGAGGCTCTGAGGAGCAAGAACGTAACATTAGTGACATTCCTGACAATCCGTACCAACATTACCCACATTTAGCATCTCATCGATACACATTTAACTTCTTCTACATGTGTTGGAAGTTGAAATTTAGCCAAAACTAAAACATAACAGTTCCCAACATCTCCACATGCAAGGGTTTTTTTTATTTTTTTTATGGAACAAGTCACTGCATATAAATACTTGGGCATCCGTCTCATTTTGACCCTATGGAGGATACCACAGACTCCAGCTTTCAAAACATGGAGAGAGAGAATGACTGAAAATACAGCCTGTGAGAAAATGCTTGGAAGACTGAACAACTACTCTGAGGCTGTAACAGAAGAATGGGACAGTTTTAGTGCCTATGTTTCTACTACATTGCAACAGTGATAACTTGGAACAACATTTAGGTTGCATTCGCATTTACACATAAACATATTAAATTAAGGAGTACCAAGTTCTGATCCAAACCTGGACAAGACCAGGATCGGTCCAGCTAAACGGGACTTAATTAGGTGTCCAGTCTGTATTTAATTGGGTGGAAACCAGGACAACGTGTGATTGATGTGAATGCGGCCTTACAATCAACAATGTTTACCTGACTGGTTTTGTTTGTTGTTTTTGTTTGTTGTTTTTGTTATATGTTCATAAAACAAAATAAAAACTTTAATTACAAAAAAAATACTTGGGCATCTGGTTGGAAACATCACTTTCCTTCTCAATCCACATATTAAAGCTGTAATCTAAAGTCAAGGCTGAGCTTGACTTCCTTTACAGAAACCGCTCTTCCTTCACTTCTCTTATCTAATGACCATTCTACCTATTTGTTATGCTTAGTGTGAGGGATTGCCTTGAGAAGACATGATGTGAATTGGTGCTATAGAAATAAACTCAACTGAGTTATATCTATATATATATATATATATATAAAAAAAATAAAAACATTTTCTATTCATCGTTAAAATAATTTGCTCCATCCAAAGGCCAAAAGGGAAATTTTCAGCTTCACCTGCTTAAGATTCTGTAAAATCAAAATGTGCATTTGATCTCTCATTATTTAACTCTAAAGAAAAAAGTAGCAAATTAACTAGGAAAAAATATAGGTTCCATTTAAAGCTGATATCAACTAAACTGCAGTTTTAGTTTACTAAACGTGTCTCTTAGTAAATGATTGGAAATAGACAGACAGCTGGAGCCTTAAAGCAATCAACGACCCTGAATGATCCATATCCATCAGTAGAGTAGAAAATATCCATCCTGACTGGATTCCTGCAGAGAGGAACGATGAAGAACTGATCCCTGATCAGATCAGCGCTCTGCAGGCCCTGTGTGGTTTATCTACCATTCACCTGCACCCACTGCTGGTGACGTTAAACCTGAACATGTCACAGTCTGCAGACTGTGGTTCATTTAGATGCTCTGTAGAAATGATAGCTGACTGGTTTTGCTGCTAAGCTTATTCCAGGGATCAGTTGACAACAATCCAGCTAAAGTGGAGCTGATTCCATGATCTCAGCCCTGAGAGCATCGACAGCCTCACCTGTGTCTCCACGGTCAAGCAGGACCAGAGAGCCAGCACTGCCCTCCAGCAGGCCGCTCAGACACTCCAGGGTCTCTGCTGCTGCCAGGTTGATCTCATCCAGCAGGATCCAGTGGCCCTTCTTCACAGCCTGGGCTAAAGAGCCCTGCAGAACACAGAACCAAGATCAGTGATGCAGCGGTGAGCGTGCAAGAAGGAGAGGCTGAGGAGACGTTTTTACCTCCACGAAGGCAAACACCATGGCCGTTTCACAGGCTCGGATCTGCTGCTGCGTCTGGCTCAGTTTTAGAGTCAGAGCCTCCCACTGCCCCAGTAGAGAGGAATCTGCAGACAAGAGACCGTGTCAGTGTTTTCCTGAGCAGCTACAGCCTTCTGCCTGTCTCCTCCTTCTGGTGGACTACCTCCAGCCTTTTCTTCCAGCTCCTTAGCTAGAGCAGACTTGCAGACGTGGTCCATGAGTCGAAGCAGATCCTGCCAGCGCTTCTCTCTAAAGCAGGTCTGCACGTGGCCCAGGAAGGTCAGGTTCTGCTTCCGTGAGTAGGTCTGGGAGAACAGCTCTTCAAAAGCCTCCCGCAGAGGCAGCAGGATCTGACGGTGGTCTACTGGCTTGTAGCTAAAAAAAATAAAGAAAAGGACGAAAACAACAAAGGTTCATAAAAAAGAAACAAACAAATGAGAAAGAACCTTCTTTAATGTTTCTAACTATGGTGTAAAGCTGCTGATTTAATACATTTCTTTGACACAACCATTTATGCTGATAAACCACAGAGTTATTCTTTGAAACCTGTAACTTTAAAACATCAAACTCAAACAATTTCAGAACGAAGTAATACAAAAACAAAATTTGTTTATTTAATCAGTAAGAAAATAACAAACCCTAACCTGGACATACAGGGATACGCAGCGTGTTAAAACTTTCCTTTTTGATAAAGCTTCTAGTTAGAGTGGCTCAGGTTATCCTGAGCTATCTCTATAGTTCTGCTGCTATAGGCTTAGACTGCTGGAGGACATAGGGACCCCTTTTTCATCATTCTATCTCTATTCTCCCACTCTGCAGAATCTGTTAGTTCAATCTCTAACGTTCTGCTCTCTCTGCTTTTTCTCATAGTAGCTTCATCTGGTCTGTTCCTGTTTGGCTGTGACTCCATCCTGGAGAGAAATATCAGCTGTGCTGCTGCCATCAACACCTTTGTTTATAGATGTTGGAGATCAGCCTGTTTTTTCAGTGTAGTCCTGTTTCTCTGACTGTGACTAACTGGATGTGCTCTCTTCATCCTCTGACATGGGAGCTGGCTCGGAGCTCGTCTGCCTGGCTGTGTGTTTCCTGGACGGGGCCGCCTTTTACAGTTGCCTTTTGTATCTATGCTTCTTTTTCTATCTCTGCTTCTGTCTCCTTGAACCCCCGTCGGCCTCAGCAGATGGCCGCTCACACTGAGCCTGGTTCTGCTGGAGGTTTCTTCCTGTTAAAAGGGAGTTTTTCCTCTCCACTGTCGCTACAAGCATGCTTAGTGTGAGGGATTGCTGAAGAGTCAATGAGTCGATGCAATCAGCTGGTTTTCCTTAGATAGAAAACTTTGAATCAATCTGACTGGATGATCTGGTGAACTGGAAAGTGCCTTGAGATGTTGTGAATTGGTGCTATAGAATTAAAGCGAATTGAATTGTTAGTATATAAAGAAATTGCTCCATTGCTCCCATTTAAATCCGCTTCCCTCATCGACATGAGAGGAAAATAGATTCTACAGGGAATGATCAAGACAGCTGCAGGCAGAGAGCATCTGTCAGAGCATCCTGAGGCTCTAACTGGCTGCCAGCAGCACCAGGATTATCACTACAGATTTCCTGGTGACATTTTGTAAACTGGTTTTAATTTATGCTTTTATTTTATTCATCTGCAGCATTTAGTTCTGAAAAAAAGAGGAGAATTTTTTTCCTGCCAAACAGGGACCAGCGGAGCACTGTGCTCCAGTGATGTTCACCATGTGACTCATCTGCTCACAGTGACTGAGCACCTTTCAATAGTCCACTCACCCTCCAAGAAGGTCGGCGGTGTCGCTCTGCTGGTTCATGTTCACCACACGCAGCTTGTGACCTGAATTAAGGCGACATCAGAAGGCGTTAGGAGAGAGGAGCCAGCAGGGAGGCTCCAGACAGCCTGAACTCACCAGTGATGGAGGCCAGGTGTTGCACGGTGGAGGTCTTTCCTGTTCCGGTCTCTCCAACCAGGAGGACTGGCTCCCCCTTCGCCACACAGACAGCCAGCTGCTCCAGCAGGACGGCGGCTGGTCGGGTGGCGGCGAACGTCTGCTTACTGCATTGGCTGAAACACACAGCAGACATGATGCCTTTTCAAAGCCCCTGTTGAACCATATCTGGGTGGTCATAATGTTCTGGCTGATAGGAGCGTGCCAGTGGAACATATTTCCAGGCCAGAGGTTATCACCCGCTCCTTCCTGCCTCTGGGTGGATCAATGGGACTATTTGGACCGCTGAACCATTAGATGACTGTTTACCAGCGGATAGTTGAAAATCAATTTGATGTTTGTTCAATTCACCAGCAGGGGTCTGCTCAGCTCTGGAGGCGGAGCGGTGGAAATAAGGCGAGCGGGCAGGGTGCCCCACTTACACGCTCAGCTGCACGGCCTCGGCCTGCTTCCGGGTCAGAGCGGCTCGGCCCACCGCCGCCTGCAGCTCGGTCAGAGAGACGCTGGGCTGATACAGCTGGCAGAAGTGCTGCGCCTGGAAACAAAGCCTCAGTCAGCTCCTGACCTTCACCTGCTTCCCATCAGAAAACAGCTTTCTGGGACAGACCTTCTCCTTGGAGATGTTGAGCTTGCTTCCGATGATCTCGGCCATTCGCAGTCTGCTAGCAGGGAGGGACAGCATGGCGGTGAAGCAGTCCAGAGCCTGAGGCAGGACAAAACGAAAGCAGCACACAGGTCACTGAGGCGCTTTAACTCTGGAGCACATCAGTCACAAACCAACTGACCTCGAGGAAGACTCGCTGAGCTGTGGCAGAGGAAGAGCTGTCAAAGTTCACACTGATGCGCTCACACCACTTCAGCAGGTCCCTGTTCCATCCAGGTCATTTCACCCATTCAAAAGAAAAGATTCACTTTAGTTCCAGATAAAGTCCATCAGCCTGGTTCCTATTGGCAGGGTGATGTAGAAATATGATGCATAGAGAACATTTGGATTCAATCCTGATCATCAGGGGTATGAATACTTTTCCATGTCTGATCTGCTCATTTTAACAATGTCTGAGAGCCATTTCCTGTCAAATCCAGACTCATCCATGCTAACAGGTTTTCTATCCATCAGTGAACCGGAACCAAACCCCAGAACCAAACTGTGTCGCTCATAGATCTGGTTCCCGTATCATAGCTTCCCGTATTGGACCGATTGATCAGAGCTGCTTCTAAACCAGCAGCTTGGAGCCAGAAGTTTGGTCAAAATATCATCATTTCAGAAATGTTTCAAATGAGCTTTCAGGTTGTTTTTTATTTTATTTCTTGTTCCAAACTGCTGATCCTTTAGCATGGGGGCGGGGCTTAGAGCCAAAGACAGTTCAGCTGCCTCCATTAAATATTCCCAGCATTCAGGAAGTGTAGGAACTATAAATGTCCTTAAAACGTCATCAAGTTTCTATGACTGGTTCAGAGAACTAACCTGCTGCACTGGTCTAGAATAGTAGAATACCAGCAGCTGCTGCAGTCAGCAGTTCCTCTGCACTCAGAGGATTGGAAATAACCAATGTGGACTGAAAAGCTGCACAAATTTGTCATTGTTTTCTTTTTAAACCAATCACATGATGGTTTAAAATATCTATAGTTCCCACGGTTCCTGAATGCAACAGATGGGCACATTTATTCCAAGCACCAAAACTGTCAGTCATCATTCCAAAGCCATGTGATCAAAGCCCCGCCCCCACGCCAAGGGATCAGCTCTCTACACTGAATATAAAAAAATTATTTTAAACATTTCGGTTTCAGTTAAAACATTTCTAAATATTTATTTTCCATTCAAATCAAAAACATTTCTTTGAACAAACTTTATGCCCCCAATTTAGTTCCATCATAAATAAAATCCATCCCAGATTGACTCCTGACTGCAGAAAGAGACGAGCAGCGAAGGAGAGCTGGGGGAGGAAATTCAACACTACAAAAAACTGAAATCTATTTGTATGTCATTTTTTATTAAAAAAAAGTGCATTTTTTCTTGTATTCATGAGGTAAGTGAGACATTTGCCAATGGAATAAAATAAGAAAAAAAACTGCATTGTCTTATTTCAAGTGCATGTTTTCTAATTTTCTTATTTTAAGAGTATAAACACTCATTCCACTGGCAGATCATTTTATTTACCTGCTCAGATTAAGGTTTAATACACTTAATTTAAGACATGTTGACTTATTTCTAGATGCTTTTGCAGCACTGGAAAAATGATCATAAATAAGTAAAACTTTCTTAAATTAAGTGTATTTATCCTTAATTTGAATGAGATAGTTTGCCAGTGGAATTAATATTTTTACTTAAATAAGATAATTAGGTAAAAACAACTTGAAATAAATCATCTTGTTCCATTTGCAAAATGTCTGTTTTTCCACCTCAATCCAAGAACAAATGCACTTATTTGAAGAAAAAAATGACTTATCTAGATTTGGATTTTTTCCAAAAACAAAAAAAAGAAAACTGGAATTTTTTTTTTTAATCACACCACAAACTCCAAGTAAGCAAACTAAAAGCCAACAACCATGGAGAGTCTGAGAAAAACATGAATTTGCACCAAACAGACAGTTTTGGAGTTGTGAGGATACGATTTGCTCATCTGTCTGCAAGATGTTAATGCATCAGATGCAACGTTCTCCTCAAGCTTTCTTCCTGCAGGAAACTATGCATCAGAACAACTGAAATATTCTAAAAATCTCAGAGTGTTTAGGAGTGAAACCCAAACAAACAGACAATGGCTGCACATCACAGGAAACATCCCAACAGAAAGACTCAGCAGCTTGATATGGAGGAAAAGACTAAATGGATTTCATGAAAAATGAAAAAAGGAGTTTAATTACAGGTCTGAAGGGAGGATAATTGGTGTTTGTTTTTAATTTCACATTATTTTTATCTATTCTACTTTTTTAACGTATAATTTTTTCTTTAATCCATATTATTCGCTTTCATTAAAATTTAAAATGTAAAAGTAAAGAAGATCAAGAAGAGACAATTCTCTGTTGTCAAAAAAGCAAAAACGAGCCACTAGTGCTATAAAAACAAAAAAAAAATGAAAAAAGAACAAGAGAAATTATTGATTTGCGATCATTTTCACATTATGACTACAATTAATAATTAATTATAAGAATAAAAATTAATAACTGGAGGAGCCATGAACAGACGACCAGAGATCTGTGGGGCTAGTAGTGAGTCAGGTTCACTAGTGTGAACTTTACATGACCTGAATCGGTTACCGTGGTAATCAGGTCCAACTTAAAGGTGTGAACTGATGAGCGGCTACTGAGCGAGTGCGATCAGCAGCGATCTGGGGGACGGCCCGCTCCCTCCCACCCTCCACAGATAGTCGGATCAATACGCCATCGAACGCTGCAGCAGCAGAAAGCTAATTAAAGCCAGAGGAGCCGAGCTGCCATCCGCTGCTGGAGTCGCCTGAGGTCACATTATGATGAGGCAATCAGAGTTAGGAGCCTCTCCATCCAAGTTCTAACATTAAGTCATATTTAAACCCACAGCGGGTGAAAAGGATGGTTCTTAAATCAGACTCACGTCTGAATGTCAGGTTCTATTTCCCAGGAAGCCCATATTTTACCAATCATGGAAGGACAGATAAGAAATGTAATTATTCCAATCATACAAATATTTATCAAGATTCACAACAGGAATGAAAAGAACACTAGAAATAGGTAAAAGTTCCTAAGATTAAGTTTATTTAGCCCTAATTTGAGCGGGTAGATAAAATGATCTGTGTAGGGGCAGCGATAGCCATGCTAACTGTGTAGGGGCAGCGATAGCCATGCTAACTATGTAGGGGCAGCGATAGCCATGCTAACTGTGTAGGGGCAGCGATAGCCATGCTAACTGTGTAGGGGCAGTGATAGCCATGCTAACTCTGCAGGGGTAGAGATAGCCATGCTAACTCTGCAGGGGTAGTGATAGCCATGCTAACTATGTAGGGGTAGTGATAGCCATGCTAACTGTGTAGGGGCAGCGATAGTCACGCTAACTGTGTAGGGGCAGCGATAGTCACGCTAACTATGTAGAGGCAGTGCTAGCCATGCTAACTATGTAGGGGCAGTGATAGCCATGCTAACTGTGTAGGGGCAGTGATAGCCATGCTAACTGTGTAGGAGCAGTGATAGCCATGCTAATTATTTAGGGGCAGTGATAG